AGTTGTGCAAGTACCAAACCCAGCCTAGGCATTCTGTGGGAGTTGCATGAAAAAGACAACTCCAAACAAGTTGTCCTCTTACAAGGGAGGTTGGGATGGGCTCTTAACCAAAACTACACATTCAAATATTCATAGAATTTGAGGAAGACTCAGTATTATTCTACATTCTGGTGCTGATTCCTGCCTTCATTACAAACTGGCTCAAAATTACCAGAAACTTTTAGCAATAATTTAAAATCCTGATTTTGCAACCTACCTCTCCCTTTGGAAAACTAAAAGCAAAGCCTGAAGGAACAGCAAGCCAAAAAATCCTTTCAACAACAACATATAGTTCTCTTGAAGACTATAAGCATTCGGGAGCTTTAATACTCAAAATTAAGACTTCATTTTGCAAAACACAAATCAAATCCAAAGCACTGGATCTGTCCCTGCAGCATCACTCTGAGGACAGACTACTGAGATTAAGGTCCTATTTCTACAGCCCTTATAGGGAAGATTTCACATGAAAAAGAAAAACTTTTTTCTTATACATATTTATGGGATTTGATTCAGCTCCAAGATGGCTGTCTTTCAAGCACCATGGCTCGGTTGCTACATTCACAAAATAGCTGAAATTAACCAAAATAGATACTGCTTTAATTGGCTTGTTATAAACAAGAGAAAGATGAACACAACTCTCTTCTGGGAGGTTTTGTGAACTATTTCCTCAAACCTGGAGGGAGGAACATAACATCCTCAGCAGCAATTAAGTCAAACTTTTGGGAATCTGGGCTCTAAATCACAGCTTAGAAAGAGCTCTCTGCCCAATGTATTCATTAAAGACTATATGCCAAACTAATGCTGCTCTCCAAAAATCTCCTCATAAATTTCCCCATTGTCATTTGAGGAGAAAAATAGTGAGCTTTCCAACGCGGAGTAAGTCAACAACCATACCGTGGAAATACTTAATCGAGTGGAATTCACATGATCTATTTGAAAAGTGTAACTCTATAGAATAGCTCGCCCTTGCTAACCAAAGCTGCTCCCCAGCTGACAATCGTTTACAGTCACTTCCTCTAACAAATCTCACGTACACACTAAATTCAGCTATCGCCACGGATAGTACAGCTGCACAGAATTGCATAGTTATACTTTCGGGTTACTTTACATACTTTTTTATTGCTAAGTTGATGCAAATCCTTACCCATTTTTAGACAGCACATAACATTCCTATTGCTGCAAAGGGGATATATAGTTCTCCATTATTAAAAGAAACCTGCCTGGCCAATCCAACAGAATCTCTCTGAGACCTCCAACCTGAAGACAACAGAAAGATTTCTCCATGTTAGACAGGACCAACTCTACAGCACAAGTAAACACTTGGATCAACAGTTATATACCTGATATCTTTGTGCAGTCTAAGACTTTGGCAAATAAGTCAAGCATGATAGCATCGGTGAAATTTATAGGGGGAAAAATCATTAAGCAGGACACTCTATAAAATCTGCAGATCAGTCATTTCCATATCTCACTTCTCTTAAGGCAAGATGTTTCAGGCAGGAAGGTCAAACACACGGTTTTTAAGAGATTCATCTTTGGTTTGATGCTCTGTCGTTAGAGGTATGAGGCTGACTTCTATGTTCTGGCTTAATGCAAGGCAAAGCTCTCTAGAAAAGTTCATGTAAAAAGCTACTGCTCAAGTAAATGCAAAGCAATCTAAAGCTAACAGTACTTCCACTGTTCTTGTGGAAATACCTAATGTTGGTATCTACGATTGAGAAAGACAATGAACTCAGGCAGGTATATATTGCAAAGCTGTATGTAATGGAAAAGAAAAATGAAAAGGTCTTATCGCAACTAAGTCTTTAACAGTTTGAGCATTTTGGGGTTTGTTGGTTTTTTTTTTGCGTTGAAGTTTCATTTCCCAAAGCAGGACATCATAAACAAATGAAATACATGTTTCTGGAATTTACATTGAAATATGCTTTCTTATTCATTCTGTACAAATGCAAACAACTAGGATTCCTTTTGTTGAAATGGCCTACTATAGAAGCACAATGAGATCAGCTGTAAAAAATTTTTCACCCATAACAGTAATTTCACTTTGTACAGTTTTTCTTAATATATACTAGAAAAATTTAATATTCACGGGAAAAAAGTAAGAAATGAGAATAATAATTTAAAATTCATAGTTTATAACTTGACAGTCATTGGCCACATATGGAAACAGGCTGCCCCTCTTGATGGATCAATGACAGGAGGTATGTTAATTAATATAGCAATGAGCCATCAATACAGTATGCGTAAGTAAGCTGTTATATACAAAGCCTGGAAACAGGCTGGCAGAGGGGAACAAAGGCAGGACTGTCTTCAGTCCACAGAGAAATGCATCACTAACTGATTACTATACACTGTGGTATGAGGATTTGACACTGAACTCATTGCTTATCTTCTTAAGAATTCTTTTGACAGAATCTTTCAACTATGAAGACACATTTTTGAAGGGAGGAAATTATAAACCAACATCTTTTCCACTGTCCTGAGAGAAAAGGCTTTAGGAACATACCAAGAATCTCTTATCTGCATCCCTGTTCCCTTCCCCCCTTTTAAAATTCTCTGAATTATTTGGAACCTATTTTTCATCTCACTCAAAATACAATCCAGCAGACGCCTCAACAGTGATTCTGAGATCACTATGCCTGGCACCCTGCAGAATGATTTCTCACTCTACAAAATGCATGCAAGACCTTATCAGTCTGACAGGGTGGAGCAACACCAAATGATACTACCACCTGCACCCTCTTCCTCAGTGCTCCAGATGTTGAAGGGCATCACTGTACCTTCATAATATTTGTTTTCAGATAGTGGCCTTAGTGCAACCTAAGCCTCTACACATAGCCTTTCTAAATGCAAAAAAGACCCTATGATGCATTCATACTTATAAGACACTTTTGTTTTATTCAAGCTCTTTCAAAGTTAGGCCACATAAGTTGTATGTAAAATTCACTATCTGCTACAAAGGCATTCCA